GTAATAATTTCTAGTACTGCCGAAGCACATTTGTCAAAAAATCTTGTAATGTTCTGTTTCTCTTCAGATGTATTTTCGTCCAGCTGGAACGTGAAAGCCAGGCTACTGACAAACATTTTAATAAAGTCAACAATTCTATGCGAGCAAGTCGGCCTCTACTTGGATTACATTTGCTGTGACGGTGCACCCTGGAACAGATCCATGTGGAACATCCTTGGAATACGCGCCACCCTAAATGACATTTAGTGCAGAGTCGTTCATCCGTGCGACAAACACAGATTTTTGTACTTTATTTCGGATTTACCTCACCTGATGAAATGTGTGAGAAACACAATGATGAAGCACGGCTTAACACCCACAACGGATGGGTAGGCTTGCTCTGATAATTCTGTGGAATTTGTATATGTGATACGTACTGCTCACCGCTAATGTTAATGCTTAACAGCTCCTGATGCAACGTGCAAATTTTACAGGCTCACTGGGAGCATGTGTCAGCCATGTGGAAGCTTGACAACAGTGCCATCACCTTGAAAGTGGCACCAAAGCTGACTCGATCGCATATCTTTCCAAATGGATTCGAGAAAATGCGAGTGGAATTGACATTCCATGTTTTCAGTCCGGAAGTTACTCGATGTATGAATTTCTACAAAAATCAAATCGAGGCTCGATAAGCAAATGTTGGGCCAACAAGACTCGTCATTGGTCTCATGGCGGAATCGATCGATGCTGGGAACCTGGACGTCATCGGCGAACCGATGACGTCCAGGTTCCCAGCAGAAGCTTTACGGTAAAAGTGAAATACTTGCCCTGTCAATAATTTGGCCAGGCATCAATTTTTCTACGCTTCATCCACTTTCTTTCAGACTTCATAGCCGAAAGGAAGCTGTGCTAGACCAGGCACTCAAGTTCCGTGATTTGTGGGAAGCTCATGCAAAAGAGCTTGGCTTTCTAAATAAAAGTACCGCGGTGGGATTGCGTGTGACCTTGCAAAGTACGAAGCACCTCCTGAAGTACCTGACTGAGGAATTTCATTTCAAATACATTATGACTGCTCGCCTAAGCCAAGACTGCCTTGAGCGCTGTTTTGGAATTGTGCGGCAGGCAGGCAGTGGCAATGATCACCCCACCCCATCACGATTTGTTGTCATCATGAGGTATATAAATATCAATTTTCACACGTAATGCTGCCTGTCGTATAAACATGTTACATATCTCACTACATTTTACTGCTGTTGTGGGTAAGGTATGCATTGTTTATTTATGGATGCCTAAGATTCTGTAGCCTGGTGAAGAGTCCCAAGGGCGGCAACGTGGCTGACGGAGCGGTGGAGTCTCTTTTGTCCGTAGAAGAAATGATGCATAAAACGGAAGATGGTGAAGAAGGCAACGAACGACTTCCATCTGATGCTGTAGAAATGTCGATAGATCATGCATCGTACGCTGCTGAGCGAAGTGACTCCCGCCTTGTATATTATGTCGCAGGCTACGTTGCGAGAAAGCGTATACTTAGCAATAATTGTGATGAGTGCAAGAACGCCTGTCTTGTCTCAAGAGAAAATGTGCCAGGAAATCTCCCAGCCCAGGCAAGCAAGCTGTGGGATCTTGGCGGAATTTTGCATCCGTCGAATTCCCTTTATACCCTTATCCTGGACTTTTAGGACAAAATCACTCTTTTCTTGAGCTCAGCACGTCTTCACGCCAAGTCAGCCATAGAGATCTGAAGGGCATTGGCGAGACACAACAAATTGGCTGCCCAAAGCATGGTGCTCTCTTGACCAAAAGTGTGGTGCGATTTTATTGCCTCCCTCGTGTCCACTTTTTTGAAAGGCATGAATCAAAAAGAAGACGAAAAGAAAGGGCAGAGAGTTAAGCCACGCGTACTCTAGTGGCAGAGCATGAATACCTTGGCATGCATGAAAATAAAGTTATTTTTTTTTTTGTTAAAAAAGTGTCTCCTCTATTTCTGCTGCTGAGGACGATTCTCGAGTCACAGGCTTCGCGGCATACGTAAGTTTTAGCGCTCTTACAGCGTTACTCGTCTAAGTTATAAAGCAATTGTAGGCTGCTAATACTTCTACGTTCGGGAACCGATAATTGAATGCCAAGTGAGAATTTAAGCTGCGACTCGCATAAGATTATGCGTTCGCGGCACAGCAAAACGAGTGTTTTGTACCGACGTTTCTGCTCGTGGATGAAGGAACTTAACATGCTCTAAGTAATATGAAGCCTTCCAGAAATCGCAACGTCTCGTTACACCCCTGCAGTTCTGCCATGAGTAACCGAAATATTACGAAATCCACAAAAGTTGGAGTCGGGTCTCGTTCATATGCCTTCTAGAGAATTGTTTTCAGAGGCAAGAAAATATAGAGACACTTAAGCCAAGTAAGACATTACGTGGCTTAAGCTCCATGTATTGTCATACATCGGCTCAATAAAAAAGGTTTTCACCGAAAATAGGCGACCGCCATATAGCGTGAGAGCAGGCCCGTAGCCAGAAATTTTTTTCGGGTGGGAGGGGGGGAGGCACTTGCTAAAAACTAGGGGGGAATGGGCCCCTAGCCCCTTCCCCCCCCCCCCCGGCTACGGGCCTGCGTCTAACTGCGCGAGAGAGATTTCTGCGGAGATCAGCGCGCGCTCATTCGTATGTCGCCTGCGCAAGGGTACCCGCGCCTCTGCGTGCAGCGCTCCATGCGGCATCGGCGCGCTTTGGGGACCGGTTTCAGCGGCCGCTTTTCACACCTCCTCATTCTAGCCACCCTAACGAAGCCACGGAGGAAGGACGAAGCGATAATGTACAGTGTACTAGAATAGAGACAGTGTGCTCACAGGCGGCGGTGGATGACTACTTCGTGTCGACGCCGAGAGGCGGCGCGGTTCGCAGCGTCACCTGAAACTCCTTTGCGCGCCGAAGTAGAGAGCCACAGCGCAATTGTTGAAATGCCAGAAATTATGCAACGTTCGCGACATGCAATGCACGACACTTATTTTGGGGCATCTTATCAGTGTGCAGGGCGTGAAGCAACTGACATCGTATTATTTTCCTGCCGTTTAAATGTTCAAAATGGTTTCGCTAATGCAGCGGTCATGTCGACTGCGGTTCCCAGGTGCGAAAAACACTACGCACTTTTTTTTCGCAATGTCAGAATTAAAATTTTGGAGTTTAACGGGCCGAAGCCACACTTCCGCTATGAGGTGCGCCATAGCGGAGGGCTGCAGGTTAATTTAGATCCCTTTAGAATTTTTAACGTCAGCCGAAATGCCGACACGCGGCTTGTTTCGTTTTTTCTCCTCCGTCGGGAGAACAGCCACCGCGGCTAGGATCGAACACACGTCCTTAGGTTAAACAGTACAACGCCTTAGACAGCCTCCACGCCGGGTTTTTCTTGATTACGTGCCTGCTGCAGGAATGCGCGCCCTAAGCCCAAACTTTAACCACCATGACAACCACGCACGACGTTTAACATTCTAGCATCGCTGCTTCGAGACTTTAGGTGATGGTTGGTGTGTGGCGTGATTTTTGCTGTAAACAAGACGTAGCATCATTATTATCAACAGCCTGTTAGGTCCTGCAGGACGGAGACCTCTTTCATTGATTTACACCCGCTCCTGTCCTTCACTGCCAGAGTCCATTCCATTCATTGCCTCTGAATTTTCATATTTCGTGTATCCATCAAGTTAATGACGTAGCAAATTAAAGAGAAATGATAAAAATCCATGTAAATTGATGAAATAATGTTTATTCACAAATAAGTGATGAAAGAATTTGCACAAGAAATATTAGGGTAAAAAAAGGCTGAATAATGGCAAATCGAGACATTTACACATATATGCACCAGTGAACATGCACCATGCAGGTTTGCCTCATTAAGTTTTCGCAATCTTCCGGTGTGTCACGCTCTTCCTCTTATCCAGTTTCTCAGAATTAATGCCCTTTGCAAAGAAATGAAGCCGCGTTGTGATGTAAAAGCTGATTACATGCATCCTTGGTGAGCCGAGCTGAATGCTCACTGCAGCCTATTTGGCGTGTGCACTTTGCCATCACCAGACTCAGCACATCCAATATGCTATCAGCATGCAGTTCTTTCTTGCTGAAGTGTTCTGTAAACATGTCTTCAAGCATTTTTACAAACGAAAAGAGTGTGCCGCGTGGATAGAAAAGTCCACCTCGATCCTTGTGCAGTGTCAGCGCAGCAAGCCCAGGATTCTCATCTTCAGATGGCCCGGTGAGAGCATCCATGCAGTCTTGGCAGTTAGTTTTCATTACGAACTTTCGTGCAACGTATCCCGCCACATAGTAAATTAGGCGAGAGTCGCTCCTCTGTATGTGCTCGTCATGTTCCATCGAAGACAACACCACTTCGGCTTCAGGTAAATTCCCCGAAGCAATCAGAACATCTACATGTTCCCACAAATTGTTGCTGGGAGGGCAACTTGTGCGGCTCTGCTGTGTGTCTAGCAAGGCACTTAGTGCACATGGATCTGCATTACCGTACCTAACGGTTTTCACTAAACTGTAGAAAGATATGCAGTTCATGGTTATGAGAAACTGAGTGGGTGTCGGATGATCGTTACAGCCAGAGGCTTGCCTGACTATCCCAAACATATTCTCAAGGAGGTCCTGACAAAGTCTGGATGTCATAAGGTTTAGGAATAACCTAAACTTGCAAGGTAGGAAAGAAGCTCAAGAGTGCTTGATATCGTGACACGCAGGCCAATCGCAGTTGACTGGCTCAAGAACCCCCCTTTTTTTTTCTGTGTGCTGCTCCCAAGAATCCAGGTACTCCAGAAAATACGAAAGAGCTGTTGCTGAAGAGGAGTTGGGTTTCAGGGCTTCTCTTGGGTGCCGAGACGTCATAATGGTGATCAGGCGGTTGATCCTCCTGTCAAAAAAAAAAAATTCGAATCATTATGAGTTTAAGTTCCTTCATATACATGTTATATTATGGCTTGCATGGCAACCGCACCTTAACTTTGCACTTTGTACTGTCTTTGTTGGTTTAGTTCTAATCTATGTAGTGGCACTTCTGTACAATACGTGAAGGTCCTATGACTAAGGAACTATCTATGAATAAGCATGCATACTAACTTGCTCACATCCAAATAACATCTCCAAAATTCTTACTTGAAAAACTCCTGTGTGCTATTTACGGGTCCTGTCTTTGCCTCAATTTCATCCTTGTAAAGGTGGAGCCCTTGAAGAACTCTCTCCCCAAAGAGTTGGAATGCGTAGGAAACTCTCTGCTGCTCGAATGAAGTTGGCTGCACGTGGCACTTGGTTATTCCTGGCATTGCCTTTAACGTAAGGCTCTTGAAGTCAAGATCGTAGGCTTTCTTGACATGCCACAACGACACCTGAGGGAAAAAAATGCTTAGTAAAGCTGGGAAACAAAGCAAACAGCACTTTTTCTTTCACCAGGTGGTTTGAAGGATGTCGAATTTCGTAAACATGTGCCCTTTTTCATAAATGGCAAAAGAAAATGACTTACGTCCCCGTCTGGTGTGTTAAATGAGCACTTCAAAAGTCCGTTCCGCAAGCACTTTATGAGGTGAAGAAAGTCCGATACAAAGTACAAATAACGGCTTTCATCAACTGGATGTTTCACTTTGCACTTCACGCTGCCACGCGTTCCCTTTACACCGAGCAATGTCCACATCCGACGGTTCCAAGTGGCGCCGTCACACGTTATAAAGTCAACAAAAAGCCCGCTCTTCTCAGTAAGCACTGTGGCCTCTACCATTATTTGAGCTAGCAAATCGCCTTTGATGTTGCCTCTGGTTGCAAATGTCCCGATCACTTGCGTCCATCCACCGACGAACGGAACAAATAGGATCACCATGCCGTGATCCGAATGCGTGGTCCTGTCTGCTGCAGAAGTGAAAGGTCCTAAATCTACAAACCCTTCGATTTGACCTGACTGCTTCACAGATATATGCTCTGCAAGCTTGAGCTCATCTACAAGAAGTCCGCCGTGCTTTTTGAATGGGTCCATGTCTTGCGTCTTGTTCTTCAATTCTTCCAACACTTTTTTGCTGAAGCCAAATGCTGATTTGTACAGAGCCGTGTATCGTTTCAGTGTTGATTTGCTCGGAAGGGAGAGTATCTCATTGTCCCTGATGTGGTCATAAAGGCGAGAACTCGTCATTTTCATTATGATGCATTCCAGGATCCACAGCTTGCTATAGCGGAAACCTTTCTTTTTTGCTTCTGCTGCGGCAAAGCATTGTCTGACACATTCTTGTTGCTTCTGGGGAAGCTTCGAAATCTGCTCACTTAGAGTCTCTTCGGCTACTGCTGCATTGGATGCCCGCATCTTTTCAACATCTTCCCTCATTGTGGAAATCCGTGAAGCGAAGCGCTTGTTTTTACGTGCAAGGAACCTCAGCCTTTGGGCAACACTTTTGGAAGCCCTGGAAGGTGTTCGTTGTACTCTTGACCTCCTTGTCAAGAGAGCCTTCCTGAAGTATTTGCAGCTCATGCACTGTCCACCTGAAAATAGAAATGTGCGGAAATTGTAGCGAATTCTGACTGGGACGTGAACAAGAAAGCACTGCCAGTACTTATAGGCGCCAGAATGCGCCAGCAAGTAATACATTATGTAACAAAGAACTGCACTACTTCAGTCAAGTGAAAATCGGGCGACTCGTTACCCACCTTTGGTTGTTACTTTGCCGCTGCAGTTGATGCTGAAATACGTCACATGCTTGATTTTGAGCTGCTTCTGGAGTCCTGCTGTTAAAAAGCAGGTGTCATAATCTTTGGCATTCAGAGCACCAATACAGAGTTCGGTAGCTTCCACGCTTTCCAGCACGCTTTCCGCTTCTTCCTGACATTTAATGATGCGCTCCTCAATCAGCCGCCCCCTCACAAACACCTTGCAGTAGCCATCGGGCGGTTTATCGCAGAGGAACAACACAACTTTTTCGGACGTGACAACGCCTTCTTCAAGGTAAGTCGACGAGCAATACATCACTCCGTTAAGGTCAGGATGGTGATGCAAACTCCAGTACTTGGAAGGAGTCTTTAAACAATAACAAAACGACAAGCAATGCTCGGGCTCCGCTGGAACGTCATCGTGTGTCAAGTCGCAGTCCTCCCCTGAATCACCAACAGCAGCCCGTGGAAATTCAGTGCAGTCAGTCTCGAGAGCACTTCGGCTCTTTTTCTTTGCGGCTGCATGGTCATTTTCGCACATCTTCCTTTTAGCTCTCGGTTTTGGCATCTTCTTCGAGAGGTACTGCGGCAAATTTGGAAGAATCGTGGGGACGGCGTTTTCCGACAGCATCGGTTTATCACGAGAAATGCGTACCTATTTGCCATCTGTATGGTGCACGAACTCCTTGATAACGAACCTCGGTTCGAAATGCAGTTCACAGACCGCAGAAAACTCATCCAGTTTCTTATCTACACGGTAGAGATTTCTTTCCCACTCCTTCCGCCGTTCTTCATCACGCGGGACGCTGAACAAAGATGCCTGTGGTGCATCCCGCACACGACTGTACCCAGTTCGACAACCGGGCGCAAAACAGTAATTTCGACGGCGGTTAGGCATCTTCACGAACACACACTACACAATGATCCAAGCATAAAGCACAGAACACGCACACGGGGTACCCACGTTGATCCAATCGAACCGATCGAATTCAACTGAGCGAACCAGCCCCGTCCGCCAACACGGCCAACACGAACCAAGAGAAGTTTTTCAGGTGCGTCAAGCGTCAGTGCCCCTGGTGGGCATCGTGGAAGTCGACACAGAGTGTGCTACGGCGGAGCGCCACAAGGATAGGGCAGTGGGCACACTGTCTCTATTCTAGTACACTGTAACGGCAACGATAAAACTATGGATAGATAGATGGGTGGATATGGCTGTACCCTTTAGATCGGACGGTGGGTAGTGCCACTAAGCCGTAATACTTAGTGAACCAAAAACTAGATTTATTTTTTTTCCTTTTAAATAGTGAGGTTGCGGATTCGTACTTTGCACTGAAGGGTTTAATTTTCACTCATGCCTTGACTTTAGCCACCAATCAGATAACTTCCTTCTAGTTAATCCTACCCGCTTAACGTCTATTTTGCCCTCCCTGTCTCTAAACCCCAGTGCTTTGAAGAACTCTGCGCCATCAACCTGAACTATAGGGTGAATCCCTTTAAAGAACATTATCAAGTGTTCGGCAGTTTCTTCTTCCTCCCCACACACACTGCATACCGTGTCTACCCCTTCCAATTTGGCCCGATATGTCTTGGTTCGCAATACTCCCGTCCTGGCCTCAAACAGTAGACAACTACCCCGAGTATTATCATCCTGGGTAAAACAGTGTAGAAAACAAACAAGCACCCTGTTGGAACCAGTACAGCCATGAGGCTGCCTGCTGGGACCATCAGCAAGCCAGAAAGCAGCTTGCTGGTACCAGCAAAGAACCCGTGGGTACGCTGCTGGAACCAGTGGGTAGCCTGTTGAAACCAGTGGGTAGCCTGCTGGAACCAGTACAACCAACAGGAAACCAGCAGCTCATCTGCTGGTTTCATCAAAAACCAAGAACTCCCAGCAGACAACCAGCAGAAAATTTTCATCTGGGACCTTGTACTCCCTGATTTGGTGTATTTCCTTGAGCTCCTAAGACAAGGCTACCTATTCCACGTTGATTAATTTCTAATCTTGCTTGAACTTCCGATCTCATGCACAAGACTGCATTGCCGAACGTCACACCAGGAACCATGACCCCTTTCCATATTCCTCTCACAACATCACACCTATTGTAATTCCACAGTGTCCTGTTTTTCATTACCACTGCATTCCTGTTACCTTTAGTCGTCACGTATGTTTCGTGTTCCCTTAGGTACTCGGCCCCTTTGCTTACCCATACGCCCAGATATTTGTATTTATCTATTATCTCTAGAGTGACCTCCTGTATTCTAAGCTCACTACCTTCATTGTCATAAAAATCATGACTGCTGATTTTTCCTTACTGAATCTGAAATCTAACCTGTCTCCCTCATTGCCGCAGATGTCCACGTATCTCTGCAAATCTTCCTTATTGTCGGCATTATCACTATATTGTCACGAGGTTGTGATACACGCAGCACTTGAGAGGAAGCACGCAGGAGTCAGGGCGGTGTCAGGCGAACTGTTTATTGGGCGAACTTGTGCCCAGCAAAACAGGGCCAAACACAACTCACAGCAACAGCGGCGTGAACAGTCGTCGGCCGACGGAAAAAAAAAGACCCCCAGTGGCGCACTGCGCCGGCGTTTTATACACGCGTCGTAACGCGTTCCAGAGTGGCATACAAGATAAACGCGGCCTGCGTTGCGCTTAACAGAAAGTGATAGCGTCTTCCTTCGTAAACCAAAAGAACCGCACGTGTCAGTCTTTCATACACGCGACATAACGCGTTCCAGAGTGGCATACAAGATAAACGCGGCCTGCGTTGCGCTTAACAGAAAGTGATAGCGTCTTCCTTCGTAAACCAAAAGAACCGCACGTGTCAATATCATCTGCGTACATCAATGCTGGTAGTGCCTGTTCAAAGAGATTTCCTTGTTTAATAAAAGAGATGTTGAAGTTGAGTCCACTTCCCTCTAATTTGGCCTCTAATCTTTGTAGGTACATCATGAATAATAATGGTGACAAGGGACACCCCTGCCTAAGCCCCCGTTTTACCTCTGCAGGCTTGGATACCTGTTTTTCCCACTTTAGAATTACCTTGTTACCTTTATAGATATCCTTTGAAAAGTTAGTGACTACATCTTCAACGACCAGTGTGTCCAGTATTTCCCACAATTCCTCTTGAACCACGCTATCGTACGCTCCCTTGATATCCAAAAATGCTAGCCACAGGGGCCTGTGTTCCTTTTCTGCTATTTCGATGCACTGCGTCAGTGAGAACAGATTGTCTTCCAACCTCCTGTGTTTCCGAAACCCATTCTACAGTTCCCCCAGCACCCCCTCATCCTCTATCCATGCCTGCAGTCTTTCCTTTATAATCTGCATCGCCAGCCTGTAGACCACTGATGTCACTGTTATAGGACGGTAGTTGTTTATGTCAGCTTTGTCCCCCTTTCCTTTATAGATCATGCTCATCCTGCTAAGTTTCCATCCATCGGGAACGTCACCATCGATTATTAGTTTGCTCACTGCCTCTCTCAAAGCCTGCTTAAACTTCGGGCCTAATGTCTTTATCACCATAATTGGAATGCCATCTGGGCCTGTTGATGTGCTACTGGGAACCCTTTTCTCAGCACTTTCCCAGTCTCGTTGTGAAAACGGGGCCATTGCGCCACTTGATTCATCCTTGTCTATTGTGGTGCATAAAGCACTTCTTTGTTGAAACTTTTCTGTTACCCTTGTTCTTATATATTCAATAGCTTCGTCCCCTTCTAGCCTAGCACCTTGAGCTGCAGTTATAAACCTCTGCTCTAGGCTCGTCTCCTTTCTGAGGGAGTTTAGATGGTTTCAAATATTCGCAGCTAACTTTCAATCTTCTTTATGTACTTCTGCCAGCCACTGAGCTCCCTTTCCTCTAATGTTTTCATTGATCAGAAGGGATGCATCCCTTCTACAGCTTAGAAAGGTTTCCCATTTTCTTTCAACATCATCCGTCGGTTCACCCCGCTGCTTAGCATGTCTGTGTTCCCTAGAGGCTTCCTGACGTTTTGCTATGGCTCTCTTAACTTCCTCATCCCACAACTTTTGGGTTTGTGTCTTCTTTTCCGGGGTGACTTGTCACGTGCCTTAGCAAGCTCTAGCTCAAACAGTCTAATTAGATTCGTGTATGTCCACACTGTTTTATTATCCTCAGTGATTACTTTCTCAATTTGTTTAGTGGCTATTTCAATTTGCCTTTCTGAATAAAAAGTTTCCTGTAGTTGCTCGTCTTGTCTCCTTCCCACTTTCACTGCTCTTCCAAAACTTAGCTTGATACGTTTGTGATCACTACCCAGACTTCTGGAGCCACCTTCATCTATGTGCATTCCCCTGAGTTTATCATACATCCTATGTGACATCAGTGCGTAATCTATCGTCGACTGCAGCCTTCCTACCTCCCATGTTATTTGCCCTTCACACTTCTCGATACTGTTGCAAATGATCAAATCAAGCCTCTTACACATACCCATTATCATTTTGCCTGCCGGGTCGGTATACCCATCTATATCTTCGATGTGCGCATTCATATCTCCTAGTATAATTATCTCGCACTCTCCTCCTAACTCCTGAATGTCATTTGATATGCACTCTACCATTGCCTGATTTTCCTCTCTGGCCTTTGCTCCCGTCCACAAGTACACGAAACCAAGGAGTGTGATTTGCCCTGCCACTTTCTCTTTTAGCCATAAATGTTCCTTGCACTCCTGCTTGACCCTTTGCCAGTCTGTACGTTTATGAATGAATGCCCCAATACCGCCCCCCTTTCTGCTGCCTTCTGTTGTATTACAATATTCCCACGCGTAATCTACATATTTAGGAGGTTGTTCCATGTCCCTGAGATCAGTTTCTACAAAACCGTATACCATCGTCTTCTCCTCCCTTAGCTGTTCTTCTATCTCTTCCCACTTCAGCTTGTTCCTACGACCCTGCATGTTAATATACCCTATGTCTGAATTGGCTCGGCGCTCGTGGCTACGTCTATTTCTGCCCCGGACTCTATTTATCTTAGATAGTGGTGCCACTTTGGAATCGTATCTGTCCATACCACCTGTCAAAGAGTCTGCCTGGTTGTTTTCCTCCTTACTGGCTATCTTGCACCCCGAAGGGCTCGCTTGCCCCCCCCCCCCCCCCCCCCCAAAAAAAAAGAAGCTACTGCGCGTCCTGCAAGTCGCCAACCCACCTCATGACCTAGCCGCCCATCGAAGTGAATTCTGTCTCGTTGAAAACCACCCCCCCCCCCCCCCCTATGCACCCCTCTGTTTATTTCAACCACCTCAAAGCCTTTTTCTCGACTCATCTGCCATATCTGTTGGTTTGCGTTGACAACCGCTCTTTGCAGGTTGCTATCACGCACCGGTACCTCCGGTATCGTCCATGTCAATACCTGTACCTGAGGAGAAGTGGCGCGCATGTCATCGACGCCTTTCGCCAGTGTGGTTGCTAGCCCTGCTGTATCTTCAAGACATCGTTTAAACCGCCTGAAATTATCACGAGGTTTCGTCCATCAGCTGTAGTTTGAGTTTTGCGCTCGCTTGCTTCATGACTGCTTCCAGCTTGCGTCCTGGGAACGCCCCTACTGCAACCCTCTTGTCACCTCTTACCCTCTCTTTGATGGCTTCTGTGCATCGATTTAAATTCAAGTCCCCGGCGATTATCACATGCTGTGACTTTTCAGCTGGAGCGTCCTGCACCTAGGGGTTACTTGAACCTGTGACGCCGGCTGCTTTGTCCCCTCCCAGCCCCATCACTACTTCGCTGAAACTGGGCCTTGCGACAATTGAAACCGGCTGAACCTGTTTTTTCTAAACTTGCCTACTCTTTCTTCTTCGCCATTCTGGTTGCGGGTTCCCTACTGTTCTCTGCGTAGGCCGCTCGTCTGTTCGCATTGGCTAATGCTTCCTCGGCAGACTTCAGCCTTTCTTCCATTGCCCTTGTTTTCTCTTGCTCTGTCGCCAACGCAGTCTCGAGCTCGGCGATTCTCATCAGCAGTTTACTCTGGGCAACCATCATTTTCTCTATTTTTTTCCTCGACCTGACATTGCCTACACTTCGCGTCAGCCTCTTCTCCATCCGCTTGTACACTTGGGTCCACTTTCAAGCCCACTCCACATCCTGAACACTGTACAGTCTTTTTAACCATGTCTTTCTGACACCAATGGTCCCTATACTCTATAATTACTAAACTCGAGCCCTGCCCTCCGAAAAAAAAAAAAGTCTAAGCGCTACTACAAAAATTTGCGTGTTCAATGTACGCGCACCTCCCCCACGGCGTGGTAAAAAAAAACAAAAAACAACAAAAATTCAAACACACACACACGTACTAACTAATAAATACCTGGTGACTGGCCCCCGAAAAGCCGCACCATAAAATAAGTGCTACGAAGATTTCAACTGCTGCCTTGTAATTATAAAGACAAGCTCAAAACATGCAAAAACACTTATCTGCGCAGTCGATCGGGAGCGCTCAAAAAACACATCCATCCACCGTGACAGTCTAAACCGAACTCAGAGAAGTGCAGCGGAGGACATCTAGCGGCAACATGCGCAGTACGGATTGAGTGATAGCGGAGATAGTGCTGCTGTAACTCCGGAAGTGAAGCGGGCAGTGCGCTGGTGAATCGATTGCGGCTACCTCGGCTCGCCAGCACCAACGACTGTTTCAATACTACTACGCGCATGTGCCGTCAGCGGTGGGATATGATGCGATGAAGAAAGGTAAGTTTCTGTATTGACATTTTCTCTTAAGTGTGGCGTGTGAGCGTGGTGAAGTTGGTACTGCTTGGACCGCCGCGCGCAAAAAGCACCGTCTATTTGCGCGCTAAAAACGGTAAAGCCTTTTTCGCTTTCAGATCTTGATCAGGATCTTATCTCTGAAAAGATGCTATTGTATGGCGCAAATATTCCTAAATTAATGCTCTAGCGACTGCCGCTAATATTTGTGCGGCCGTCGTTAACCCTAAAAGGCCGGTTTCGTGGGAAAAGGCTGCTTTCGTGGGAATGACGCATTTATGTTCTAATTGTATTCAGAAGCACTGAGCGGCAATGCGATATGCCCGATGACACGCGTAGTTGCATTCTAGGCTTGCACGACTGACCTTGAGCAGGCAGCTTCGCGTAAAGTTAACATTTTGTAGCAAGTGTATCTATGGAGTTGCGCGTCATTGTTGCGCAGAGCGGAGATAGCGCGCGCTCACGCTGTGCTCGTGGTGACGGCAACTTCGCCCGCATGTGGCAATCGTCGCTATAGTTTCGCCTTCTCCGCGCCGTGATAATGCGCCGACAAACCGGCCGTCTGTGCTTGATAAATGCTGTTAGATGTTGGCTGGCTGACACGTGGGGCGCCTGTACTGTTGTTTCATGATCGGCTCGTGCCGGACCTAGATTTGTGCATGGCGCGAATGACAGGGCCTTAATTTTTTAGGTGAGCATTTCTTGTTTCGCCGTCGGATTTGTGTTTTAATCTTCCATATCTTCTCTCTTTTCCACAGCCCGGACTACCAGCTTTAATGCATCGGTGCTGGAAGATGTTGACAGCAATGGGGACAGCATAAAGACATGGTGCCGAGGTGGTCCACAAAGCTCGGAAGCAAAATGTGTCATTTGCGACGTGGTAATTTCGTGCGCACAGCATGGCACATCAGCTGTCAGGAGACATGCTTCTTCGAAAATGTACCTGAAGTCAATGATGAAGTTCTGTGATGCAGAAGGAAAGTTTGCGAAGCCAAAATTGGCCCAACCAACTTTGACTTTCTCTGGAGGAGCAGCAACCTTAACTGTGAAACTGTCCTTAACTGTGAAAGGAGTGCCATTTTCATTTGCAGATACTGCATCCAGGATGGTCCCTGTGATGTTTTCAGATTCCAAAATTGCTGAAATGTTCTTTTGCGGCAGGACTAAAGCGCCCTACATCATCTCTGATGGACTGGATCCGCTGTCCAGAAAAAAAGTGATGGAGGAGCTTTGCTGGCCAGATGTGTACTACTCGATTAAAGTTGATGAAACGCCCAAAGCAGACCAACATGTTCAACAACTGGACATCCTTGTGCGATATTTCTCTAAAACACAAGAAAAAGTTGTCGTTCAACACTTATAGTCATTTAACCTTGGTAGTGCGACAGCAAGTATCTTGGTGGACTGCATTGAAAAAGGCCTGACAGAGCTACCAAAGGAGAAGCTGCTGTGCTTCTTCAGTGATGGCCCAAACACAATGAAAAGCGTGAAGAAGAAACTGAGGGAGATGCTCAACCCCAACCTTCTAGACATCAGAGAGTGTAATCTTCACAAAGTACATAATGCATTCGGCACTGGACTGAATTCATTTGGATATGATGTGGAGCTGCTAGTGATGGACATTTATTACTTCTTTAAGCAAGCCATTCACTCATCACAGCTTTCAGAGAAACAGAAAGACCTTGGGATCCCCGAGCACGTCTTTCTTCGGCATGTCAGTAGCAGGTGGCTTACATTTCAGTCTAGCCTTGAAAGAGTGTTGCAGCAGTTCGAAGTGTTGAAAGCGTTCTTTCAAACTGAAGCCGGCGCCACACCAACAAGCGCTGTACTGCAGAAACGACTAGCATCTGCACTTTCAGATAAGACGATTCTCGCCAAGATGCTGTTCTTACGCAACACTGCAGAGCTCTTATCTGAATTTCAAACCGTTTTCCAAAAAGAAGAGCCCCTTGTTCACATTGTACACTCGAAGTGTATTGGGCTAGTAAGAAAGCTGCTGAGCCGCTTTATGAAGCATGAGGCCTACTGCAACTTGTTTGGCAATGAGTTGAAACAACTTGATGTCGGGTCACCAGAATGGCTGAAGCAAGTTTTGGAAATCGGATCCGACACTGAAAAAGAAATGCGTAACTGGGATCCCCAAGAGAAGAAGAGCTTCAGGACAAGCGCACAGGCATTTTACATTTCTACTGCGAGACATCTAATCAAGCGGCTTCCTCTGGATAACAAACTGCTCTACCACTTGCGCTTTTTAGATCCTATATGTTCTTTACCTGTAGAAGAGACAGTTCAGTCTATCAAGTACGTGGCTGCAGGCGTGCCCCACATGATAAAGGGTGAGCAGGTGACATCACTTGTAGACCAGTGGCATTGCCTTCACAGCCAGCCTATAAGTGCGGCTGCTCATCTCCCTGCCCCCAGCATCGATGGCTATTGGGCTTCAGTGTTAGCTTCAGGAAAGTATCCTCTCGTGTCAGTGTTTGTACGAGCCATGTTGTCCCTTCCACATGGAAACGCCGACTGCGAACGTGGGTTTAGCGAGAATAAGCGCATCGTGGGCAGTCGAGCTAATTTAGGCATTGTGGCTCCGAACGCCATTCGGCATGTTAAGAGCTATGTGAAGCGCTTTGACAGTGACCCTTCAAAAGTGCTAGTTACGAGGGACCTCGTTAATGCTGTGAAGCATTTGCACAGGACGTACACGGAACGTCTTCAACGGGAGGCCAATGACATGGAAAGGCAAAAAAGAAAGACACCTGTGGCCAGCAGCTCACTTCTGGAGAAAATGGCCAAGCTGGACGAAGAAAAACAGTGTGTAGAATGGCGTCTAGAGTCGTCAAAAGCAATGCTCCAGCGTGCACAAAGACTGATCAAGAAAGGCCTCGCTGGCAATGATATTGCCACTTGATCGACATCCCCGACTGGTCAGCCTTCAAAGATCAGCTTCGCCATGTCTTTGGCACACCGGCTGTTCGTTCAGCTCTCGCAAAGAAAGCTCTCGCGACTCGGAAACAGCACATCGGGGAGTCGTATACATCCTACATCGAGGATGTCCTTTCACTTTGCCGCCGGGTTGACACCCCAATGACAGTGTCAGACAAGGTACGCCACCTTCTTAAGGGGATTGCACCCGTCGCATTCAATGCCCTTGCAATCCAGAATCCAGCTACCGTTGCTGACGTTGCGACAACCTGTCAGCGCCTCGAAGAACTTGAGTCTATGCGCCTACAACAGGACAGTGACGCGGCCCGTATCACGGCGGATCCAAACCTACGAGACACAATAAGGGTGATTATACGTGAAGAATTAGAATCAATGGGATTCACACTACCTTCAGTATGTCCCATTCAGTCTTCTTCAACGTCATTGCAGGATGTCATCAGGGAGGAGCTCACGTCCATTACCCACATGGCCCACCTGCAGCCCACTGTCGCTCGTACTCTCCCATCGTTCTCGCATGCCGTCGCCTCCCCATCAGGCACCGTCAGCTCGACGTCGCCGCCACGAACGTACGCGTCGGTTGCTGCCGCACCCCCCAGAAGCTTTCCCACGAGCTTTCCATCACCACCGCCTGAGCCATCATCTGTCCCTCTCACTGCTCTCTCTCCCGGCACATCTAACACAAGCTACTACCCTCCTTATCGATCGACTCACCCTACGTGCTATTATTGCGGCTATCGTGGTCACATTTCACGCTTTTGCCGCAAGCGCCAGCAAGATGAGCGCCGAGGGTACGACATACGCGAACGAGACTACCGCAGGAGCCTTGTACCAGGGCCGTCGTTATTCGTCACCGCTGCGTCGGTCTCCATCTCCGCCAGCATCCGGTGAACTGCGCAGTAGTCATCGATCAACCCGACGCCGTTCACCATCGCCCTACTGTCGCTCCTCTTCTCCCCATCAGCCTGCTTCCCTCGCTTCTGATCGGCGTCCGGAAAACTAAGCGATGCAGTTTTTGGAGGACAAACTGCGTTCCAACACAGTACTCAAATTTTTCCAGCGCGTCCTTACAATATGATTGCAGTCACAGTTGAGGGAGTGGACGTTGATGCTTTGGTGGACACTGGGGCTGGGTTTTCTATTATTTGTGCTGATTTGTGTACCCGTCTTCGAAAAGTCACGACGCCTTATGATGGACAAACACTGGTTACAGCCCAGGGAACAATGATTCGCCCTTCCGCTCTCTGTACTGCCCGTGTGCTAATCGACGACATTCTTCATCATATACAATTCGTTGTGCTATCCCTACATGTGCTCCCACGAACTCATTTTAGGCTGGGACTTTCTTTCATCTGCTTCCGCGGCTATTTGTTGTGCATGTGTCGTCCATCTTACTGACACAGACCACTTGCTTAGTGACGAAACCTACAGGCCACTTCGACTCATCGCTGCTGTAGACATCGAGTTACCCCCAAACGAACATCAATTAGTCAGTTTTGTCCAACAACGTCGACTCTGGTGACATTTTGGTCACTCCATCGCCCCGTTGCCTTAATAAAGGCATAGCTCTCGCATCAGGTGTGGCTCGCTTCAACAATGGATCAGCTGTCCTCGCTGCTACGAACACCACACCAGATAAAATTTTACTGCCGCGGGGCACTACTGTCGCCTGCGTTGCCGATCTGGAGCCTGTGTGCGTTGTGCCTTTTACCCCTGCCTCCTCTAAAGGCCATCCTGGAGATCATGCTGCCTCCTCGGCCTCTACAGCAGCCATCAACAAGGACTTGACAGACTCGCAGAAGCAGCAGCTGCTTGATTTGTTGCAAAAGCATGCAAACTCTTTTGACGTTCATTCATCCAGCTTGGGCCAGACAACGGCTACAGCACATCGTATTCAGACCGACGGAACATCCATTGTGCATCGTCGTCCGTACCGCGTCTCCCTAGCCGAACGAAAAATCATTGAGGAAAACGTAGACTATATGCGGCAACGGGAGACAATCCGACCCTCAACCAGTCCTTGGTCGTCTCCAGTGGTTCTGGTGCGTAAAAAAGACGGTTCCGTACGATCTTGCGTCGATTACCGAGCACTCAATAATATCACTAGGAAGGACGTATACACCATGCCACGTATCGACGACGCTCTCGATTCCTTACAAGGTGCTGAATTCTTTTCAAGCCTCAACTTGCGTTCCGGCTATTGGCAAATCCCCATGCACGAAGATGACAAAGAAAAAACTGCGTTTGCAACCCCGGACGGCCTATACGAATTCAATGTTATGCCGGTTGGTCTATGCAATGCGCCCGCAACTTTTGAGCGCTTGATTGACACCGTGCTGCGCGGCCTGAAATGGAAGACTTACCTATGTTACCTCGATGACATTGTTGTCTTTTCATCGACGTTTCCTCAACATCTGCAACGCTTGGACGAGGTCCTGACTTGTCTTGCGGGCGCTGGTCTTCAAATTAACACCAAAAAGTGCCATTTCGCCAGCAGATCTATCAAGGTACTCAGTCATGTTGTGAGCAAGGACGGAATTTGTCCAGACCCTGATAAACTGCTGCAGTGCTTCGCTTCCCTCGCCCTGACAAACTGAAAGATTTGTGAAGTTTCCTTAGTCTCGCCTCTTACTTTCGGCGATTCATACAAAACTTTGCCTCCATAGCCACACCACTTCATAAGCTACTTGCTACCGGTATGCCCTTTCAGTGGTCTCAGGAATGTGAATTGGCTTTCGACAGGTTGAAGAGTGCCCTCACGACCGACCCTGCACTTTCTCATTTTCACTATGATGCACCGACCTTCCTGCACACAGACGCTAGCGGCCGCGGTTTAGGAGCCGTGCTCCCCCAGCGCGACAACTCTTCGCGAGAGCGAGTCGTTGCGTACGCCAGCCGCGTCCTCTCCGCAGCCGAGAGGAACTACACGATCACCGAGAAGGGGTGCCTCGCCATCGTTTGGTCAGTGCAGAAATTTCGTCCCTATCTTCACGGCCGCCATTTCATCATTGTGACCGACCACCACGCTTTATGTTGGCTTTCGACACTCAAGAACTTGTCTGGACGCCTCGGCCGCTGGATTCTACGCCTACAAGAGTATGATTTTGACATCGTATACAAGTGTGGCAGAAAGCATAGCGACGCCGATGCTCTTTCTCGCTGCCCATGCACTACCAGCGGCTCCCCTCAGCGTTTCCGCAATCACTTTGCACAACACACCATCGGAGCCCACGTCTACGGCGGTTTCCTCTCTCGCCTCTATGGACCAGCAGCCTTCGGACGACCCACACGATGTTTCTTCTCGACAGCTGGCTGACCCATACTGTCGACGTATTATAGGCTACCTCACTGGCAGTTCCCGTCCACATAATGAGAGACTCCGTCGCCAACTCTCGCAGTTTAAGCTGGACAACTCGGTGCTGTACCGCAAAATTTAGCATCCTGACAGTCAGCGCTGGGTTCCCGTTCTACCCCGATCGCTTCGGTCCGAAGTTCTCAGAGCACTTCATGACCATCCGACGGCAGGTCACCTTGGTTACCACAAAACCTATGATCGCCTTCGAAGTCAGTTTTATTGGCCAGGTATTACCACTAGTGTAGCTCGGTACGTTCGGTCCTGCACTACCTGCCAATGTAGAAAACTACCCACATCTGCTCCAGCCGGTAAACTACAGCCTCTTCCGTGCCCAGCCACACCATTCGAAGTTGTAGGCGTTGATCTTTATGGCCCCCTTCCAGTCAGTGCTGCTGGAAACCGATGGATAGAAACAGCCGTTGACCATCTGACGCGCTACGCCGAGACGGCATCCGTCACTACCGGTTCAGCTTCTGAAATTGCCGATTTTATCCTCCGAGCCAGTATACTGCGTCATCGTGCTCCACGTGTATTGCTCAGTGACCATGGGAGGGCCTTCCTTTCACAACTAGTGAACGAACTTCTTCGCGCCTCCGGCACAACTCACAAGACTGACTCTAGTTATCATCCCCAAACTAACGGCCTCACTGAGTGATTCCACCGCACTCTTGCTGACATGATCGCCGCCTACATTAAACCAGACCACAAGAACTGGGATGTAGTTCAACCATTCGTCGCTTTCGCCTACAATAGGGCTATTCAGCGGACAACCGGCTACTCACCATTTTACCTAGTTTATGAACGCTCCCCTACTTCATTCCTGGACGTCTCTTTCTTTACCTGCCACGCGGATTCATCTCCATCCTCTTCAGAGGAATACGTTTTACTACTCGCAGAGAGCCGCCAACGTGCTCGTATAAACACTGAAGCCCGACAGCAAGACAGAAAGCTGGTTTATGATGAATCGCATCGTGCTGTATCCTTTCATCCTGGAGACGAAGTGCTCCTTTTGACGCCTATTCGCACACCTGGTTTGTGCGACAAATTCCAGCCACGGTTTATCGCGCCGTACACAGTTTTTGAAGAAACTTCACCAGTGAATTATCGCGTGACGCCACTTGTAGCCCCAGCAGATCGCCGTTATCGAACTACTGAGGTCGTCCATGTCTCCTGTATGAAGCCCTTCATGCGACGTTCTTTGTCCCCTTGACTTGCCGTGGCCAGGCTGGCCGCTTTCACGTGGGGGAAATTAGTGTGGGCATTTAGTATACCAATCCCCTTCATCTGTACATTATCATCATTATCATGTGTTGCTCATGCATCCTCATCGTTGTCACGTAGCGTCATCTTGGTTCGTTCATCTCAGCTGTCGGCTGCCGGTTTCTCAGGCCTAATAAAGGTCTTCCAAACCAAGACTTCATAATATGGAAGAAATTGAAAGTGTTGGCGCCAAGTGCTCCTGGCTGAGGCAAATACGAGCCTCACTCAAAACATGCAAATGCTGGCAAGCATAAATGAAAAGCTTCAAAAAATGTGAAACAAATGTCTGACTTCATGAGTACATGTATGTTCTTCATACATTCATATGCATTTCTCGCCGTATTGGACAACCTTGAAAACTGATACCGTTTGCTCCAAGCTG